ATCAAATCGCGACCCACGCCGGAGAAGCCGTCGCACCTGAGAGCTCCGCCGCTGGTAAGTCTCAGTTTTTCGTATTTTTTGGGCCACCGAAGGCCCTAGGGTTTTTTATCGCAGGAACTAATGCATGTTTGGCCGAATTCGGCCAACCCAAGATGGATCGCCGTCACCGGAGCACGTCGGAACTACCATGCCGGAGTTCTTGAAAATGACCGAGTAGGCCTTGGGACTATTTTTGAGTTTTTTCGAGACATGTATAGGTACTGGAAATGTATTTCGGTTCCCAGGGAAAGAAATTCAGGGAATCTAGGGACGGCCCGTAGGTGCAGTGAGAACCCGATTCCAAACTCCGAAACAAGTAAGGATTTCTCACCCTATTTTTTATCACGGTATTAAAGCTCAATAAATATTAAAACGGCATTTCATGAATTAATACATGTGTATAATTAATTAAGGTTACTAATGGAGCCCGAATCTGATGTATTTTTCGGTCAGTTGTTGTTTAATCTATTTTACAGTTTTAAATGCAGTATGGTAGTTGATGTGTTTATTCTAGGGTTTCTATGCATGAATCACGGTTTCGTTTATTATGGTTTGAATTATTGTGAACCCGTTGTTGTCTTGTTTGGTGTTCATTACTGGTTTACGTGTTTATATTTGATTGGATAATTGAGACCAAGAAAAATAAAAAAAGGTATGTGAATTGATAAATGGATAATGTCGACAGCCCAACTAGATATCTTGGGAGATGGTGGACGGACCGGGTCCGTAGAGAACCCTACCGAGAACGTGGTCTCTCATATCGGACGGAGTATGGAGACCTTATGTATTTTGGCGCCCATACCGGACAGGGTATGGGGACGACCCTGGAATCAAGTTATCAATGTGAATGGTTCACGTGTAGCGGGGACCCCCCTATGGATCCCTATGGATACTAGTAGGCTGATAAAAGAGGAAAATTATTATCTGATTATTGAAAAATGAGAGTTTGATATGTGTTATGTTACAAAGTGTGCATGATTTTATGATGTTTATGATGTTATTGTGTTTCATAAGTTGTCTTTTATGAATCTCACCGAGGTAAGTGGACAGTAAAAATTTTTATTATTGATAAATGAATTTGCTATAAATTATGCTCCATTGGTCGTTTTTGTTTTCTACCAACTTTTACTCATGTGGCAGTGAGATAGTATGATATCTTTACTGGAATAGTGTAACTCATTTCTTACTTAACCATTTCAAATCAGAAGGACTTAGTTCCGGAGCCCGTCCCGCAGGAAGACGGCGAGTAGATGACTAAGGATTTCATAGATTTATTTATAGCATTCATTACTAGTGTTTACTTAAGTTAGTTTATTATTTAATACGTTTTGGTTATTGTGTAAGAGATATTAATCAGAATTTTTATTTCGCTTCCGTACTTAGAATTTTTAATACATACATTTTTTTTTAAATTTTCGGGGCCGTTACATTTATTAATTATCTGATCGTGATCTTTATCTGATTTATTGATTTGAAATAAATGCCCCAATTACGTTTCTTAATTGTTGATGTATGAAATCGAATCATTTGCTTAATTGTCGTTTGATTGATCTGTGAAGATATAAAAACATATTAATATGCTTGTTGGTTGTTTGTTGATAAAAATCTGTATGTGAAAGATTTACTGGGTAACCGAAAAAGGGTAGATGGATCCAGTATATACGGAACCCTACCGTGAATGTTACCTTATCGGACGGGATTGGGAAGTCCTTTACCATAAAGGTTTGGAAGATATTGTTTATTCTCATACTGGACGGGGTGTTGAGACGATGGAATATTGACGCTATATCGAACGAGGTATGGGGACGACCGGTTAATTGTTAAATGTATGTTGGGTTTAGGGGTAGGAGAGACACTCTTATAAACCCCCAGAAGTACTAATTAGTAGGTAAAAAAGGAAAGTTATTGTATCTTATTATCTTATATGTGAAAATAAAAAGTGTATGAATATGAGTTTTCAGAGATTGTCTTTGAAAAGATTGTTATGGTAAGTATTAAACAAACGTCTTCAAGTTTAGATGTATTTAAATAAAGTAAGGGCTTCATTAATTATTTTTCTAATTTTTTACCAATCTTCAGTTTTTTGTATATATGATTAGTGTGATATTTTTACTGAGTTAGTGTAGCTCACCATTTCATTAATTATTTCAGATAAAAAAGATTAAGATCTAGATCCTGATCAATAAGAGGGTTATGAGTAGTTCACTACTCGAATTCTCTTCAAGTGCTAGTGAAAGTTGTCATAGGATGCTGTGTTAGTGTAACTCACCATTTCATTAACTATTTCAGATAAAAAAGATCAAGATCCAGCTCTCGATCAATAAGAGAGTTATGAGTAGTTCACTACCCGAATTCTCTTCAAGTGCTAGTGAAAGTTGTTCTAGAATGCTTAGTTATTTGTTTTTCGTTTTATTTTTTTAATTTTCATTTATCTTTTAAAAGGGACATTCCCGTAATCCTATTGGGCATTATAAATTATTGTATATGGAATATAAACCCTAACTCCATTAATCGTTTCTTTATTTAATTTATGAATTTATTTCCATATAAGTTCTAGGTCTTTACATAAATACATATATAAATATGTAAATTTATGTTCATCTAATCAAATATATAAATATATATAGATACAATAAAATCGATATAATTAAATAAATTATATACATGTATATATAATTAAAATATAAGTACATGAATTTAATTGAATATATAAATATATATTTTTAGATAATTAAAAATATATATAAAGGGTAATTTAGTAAATAAAAAGAAAATTTTGAGGATATAATGAGAAAAAATAATCGAAACATCATAAAACCATCGAATTGATAGCTTGAAAAAATAAATAAAAAATCATGGTATTGAAAAACACGACTCAACCAGTAAAAAACGGTACCATGTATTTGGAAATGGAAACAAACAAACAAAAACAACTATGGAAAAAATCTCCTTTCAAATCAGTAGACTAACCAAGAGGGAAATACTTGAATAACTCTGATAGTTTTTGACCTTGATGATCAAGTTTTGGACTGAGATTGATGGAGGTTAAGGTGCCGCCATGGTTTACTTCTGATCCTCTATCAAGCGTCAATTGACTCTGAAAATTTGATTTGTTGATCCGGGTTAGAGGTTGCTATACGTGGAAGAAGCAACAGTGCCAAGAAAATGGAAAGAGGAAGACATGGCTGATATTTTATATGTTGTCGGAGTTATAGACACAGTTTGTTTGGGTAAAGAGCTTCGTCGGAAATTAATGTGGTAGCCTTTAACTAGGAAATGATAGGAAAATTTCTTGATAGTCGTTGACTTGAAAATAAATGGATATACCTACTTCAAATTGAGCTAACAGCCATAAATAAATAAATAAATGTGATGCTACTTTGCATATATAATAACTGATGAGAGGCCTCGTGGGGAGCAGCCCCAGCACGTGATAATCTGTTGCAAAGCCTACAGTATCCACATGCCTGCCATGCATTTCTCTTCCAATTGGCCACTTGGGACATCTCAATCATGTTATTCACGTATATATTTACATATATATACATATATCCTTGAATATAATATGTACCCAGGTGATGATCTCGTTGGCTTCAGTTTATTAATTCATAAGTGGGATATTCTGAGAATTTAAAACTTTACCCTAGGGGTATTTAGTTTGGAATTTCAACGGAAACTGAATCGAGGTTAGTCTGGTTTTATCACTTTGGTTAATTTGATTTTTTTTTTTTTTTTTTGCCAACAATTCTGCTTTAACAAATTTACTATTACTTAGCGTTTGGTTCTGAAATTAGGTCATCAAAAAATTTTCACGTAAAAGAAATTATTTTAACTGAAGAGCTAAAATTTATTTGTTATTCGAAAAGATATGTAAAATCTTTACCAGTGCTCCTGCCGCCGCTTTCTTCCTCTTCATCTTCCTTGTTTCTTTTTAACAACTCAAAGAAAAGCAGCTCTAATAAGGTGTAGAACACCAACACCAACACCATTGATTCACTGTCTTTTTGTTAAAACCCAAATCCAATTAATTATATTCAGTTATTAGTCATCGATTTGATTTGATTCTTTTACTTTCGTTTGATTCTGGTTCAATTTTTTCTTACCTAATTATTCCTCTACTTTAGCCCTTCAGAGATTTCAGCCATTGATTTAATTTAGGATATTATTTTGTAATTTCTTCTTTGCCAGCAAAATTGACTTGCTCCTGATATATTTATTTCCTTTACCCAGACGGGAAGGTTATTAGGACTGAATCTTATCTTTTCATTTTTTTTTTTTTTAGTTATGTCTAAGAAGCATTCTACTTTTTGTTTTAGTTGACATAAAAATCAGAACACCGTATTCAAAATTATTGATAAATTTTAAAATATAATCCTAAGAACTCTCTAAAATTTTCATTATTCTGTTTACTAAATATATTTAATACTAAAGAAAGCCATACCAGGATGATAGCCCACAGTGAGAACTGAAACCAAAAAACAAAAAAAAAAAAAAAGATAAGAACAACTTGAAGTTGTCATCCATGAGCTCATCAGCCTCTAAATTATTCTTAATATTAATTAACTTGCTATCATCTGGTTATCCCCTTGTTTTTTATTAAACAAATAAAAAGTTTCTTGCCTGGATTCTTGGCAAATAGATCAGATAGATACCCAAAATACGATTTTTAAAATGATTGTTTCACTGGTAACTTATTTTTTTTCTTTTAAATAATCTCTTATCAATTACCCAAAACGGAAACTGGTCTCAAACACACGCATGCAGGTGTTCAACACATGCACTTTCCAAATCATCAATTACAAAGACCCTTTACCTGTTCCTCACTGGATTCAATATGTCTATATATTTATATAAACTCTTGACTGTATGCATATATATATATATATATGGGGCAATACCCATTGACATAGACCCAATTAAGTTTTAAATTTCCAAGCCAATTACTTGAAAGCTAAGGAGTCATGTGTGCATTATATCCTTTTCTTCCAAATTGGAACTGGCCTTTAGCCGATCCTATAGGCCATGAAGACAACTATGTCAATTACTACAGAGATGATCAGGGAACTCTAGATTCAGTCCTCCATTTTCCCCTGTCTTCCCCGAATGTGTTCGAGCCCAAGCATTCTCCATCTTTCACCACAAATAACGTTACCAGTAGTGACAGCAATGGTGGTGTCGGAGCTAGAAAAAGCATCGCTAAAAAGCTTGACCACAACGCAAGCGAGCGTGATCGTCGCAGGAAACTTAACACACTGTTTTCTTCTCTCCGTTCACTTCTCCCCACATCTGATCACAACGTACACGAATTTCCTACTTAAACTATCCCGAAAAAATTTACATAATCTGAATTGTACTAAGACTAAACTGTCTAAAACTATCCCGACAAAATTCTTATTCCACGGATAATGAGTCTTTTATTTGGCGAAATTATTTTCTTTTCAAGTGGTTTAACTTTTAGTTGTCGAATAAAGTTTAGGTTTTTTGGTTGAAATTGGATAAATTAGATGATTTTGATCTTTATATGATTCACTTTTTTCAGAAACATAATAATAATATTTGTCAAATATCTAACAAATATTAATTTTTATTGCAGAAAAAATTAAGTATTCCAGCGACAGTTTCACTCGTTGTGAAATATATTCCCGAATTGAAGAAAGAAATGGAGAAGCTGGGCAAAAAGAAGGAAGAGCTTTCAAGAATAATTCAAAGGCAAAACAAGATTGATGAAGAAACTAAAAAATCAGATCATGGTGATCATGATCAGGGCAGGATAATCAACGGCTCAAAACCCTTGGTTTCAGCTAGTTGGGTAAACGATAAAGAAGTTACAGTACAGATTTCAACACTCCATGAGACTCCATTGTCAAGTATCTTGCTTTCTTTGGAGGAGGAATTTGGTCTTCTTCTACTGACTGCTTCTTCTTACCAGTCTTTTGGAGGAAGACTCTTCTGCAACTTACATCTTGAGGTATTTTCCCTTTTGCCCACTTGATTTATTTTTCAATTTATTTTCTTCAAGCAATATTTATCTATATATGTGTTAGTATATATAACGAGTGATATTTTTTATTTGTTCGTTGTTAATTTCGTTTTTATTTGTATGTACAGATGGATAGAAGTTACAAATTGGAAAGTGAAGTTTTAAGCCAGAAGCTTTTGTCAATGTACCAGAAGAATGAAAATCAAACTAGTAATTAATTTGTGTGAAATTCAGAATCTTCTGGTTAAGTATACAATTAATATGGGGGTCTGTATAACTCCATTATGTAATGAGTTCTGTACATGTCCAATCTACTCACAAATCTTATCCCATTTTTGCCATCCCAAAATTGATGCACTTCAAGAATTATGAAGCATATAAACACACGCACATAAACCTATAGATATATATATATATAATCTAAAATTATATTAAATACATCCATAATGTTCTAAGAATAAAATCGAACAATCTTTCATTTTTCTAAAAATAAAAATATGTTAAATACATAACTGTGAGCATTATAATTAATTTAATTAGAAGATGTCTTGTAACAAGTCTTTTAATAATTAAGATAAGAAATCTTGTATTGAGTTAATATCCGACTTAATAATTCTATTATTTAAAAAATTTTTCTCTTGATTGATACTATGAAACTTCATTTTTTTTTTTTTAATACTTAACCATCAAATATTTTGTTCCTATTAATATCCATTGTATTCCATAGCTAAGGAATATTATTTTTATTATTTTTTTTACACTCCCACGAACTACAAAATATTTTTAATTATTACCTCTTTAGTAGGATTTGATACTGAAATTTCAAGAACAAACTTAACTGAGATTATTTTTTCAGTTCAAATCTATCAATATTTTCATTAAAAATACATTTCATTATATCATTCTCGTATTTTAATACTACACCAATATTAATTGGACCTGATTTCTTTTGAGAAAAATCATTCATATTGAATTTTCACCAACTATTCTCAAAACATATTCAACTAAAAAGTTAATCTCTCGTCTATTTTGTCTTTAAAATTACAGTATCATAATTACTAAGAGAAAGTTGACTAAATAAAACAAACATGATATTTCTTGTATTATATTAAACACATTCTAATTAAATTCATATATTCATTTTTTTAAAAATTCTATGTTCAGACACAAAATCACTATATTAATTTATAAACAGACAAACCCTAAATACTAGTAAGACAAATCTATGGATATTCTTCCATTAATCTTGTAGTTAATTTCTATGCATGGTTAAAGTATTTGTGGGTCTAATTTGGGTAATAACTAAATGTTAACTCTATAATTAATATTAGGATTATAAATAAGAATTCACTACAACAATATAACTCATATTATATTTGAGATCCCTTATCATATTCTAAAATATTCTTTTTCTGAAAAAAATAATGATTAAATATAAAATGAAAGCAAGAGTTGAAAATTCATTGTAGACTGGAATGATGAGGAATTTTTCTAATGGGTTTCTCGTATATTTGTAGAAAATATTTTCTGATTCCTTCTAGAAAGAATAACTTACATAAGTATGAATTTAATTAATTAAATTTGTGGTGGCACCGGTAGGTATACTTAGTGATAAGCACAATATTTTTTTTAATTAAATTTGATAGTCTAATAATATAATATATTTTAAAAATTAAATTAATATGACATACAAACTATATTCTCTGTTTCCTAGTATATACACTTTTAGAAATTGAAGTTATATAATGTAATATAATATTATATAATATGATATGATATTCGAGGTCATTAGATTCTCTGTGCATGCTGGTTGTCGATAAGAACAACATGATAATTACGTATACTTATATGGAGATCCAGTTAATCATATAATTATGTTAATTGTATATGTAATTATTAATTAATTAATCTTAGATTTGGAACGAGCCTACACGTGAGGTGGCCACGCATGCACGTGTTTTTAAGTGTCAAGCTTTTGTCTACCCCGCGCAAAGCCATGCACAACACATGACTTGATTAGATTATGTCTCCTGATTCCCTTCCTTTCATAGAAATCAGAAGTGACTAGTTCAAATTTTCTATTACCAAACATATAGCTCTCTCTCTCTCTCTCTCTCTCTATATATATATATATATGTATTATATGCGTGATGTCACCATTTAATATTGATTAACCCAAAAAATTATTACAAAAAAATTAATTTTCCCGAGATGGAAATCACAAGTGGCAGATAAGTTATGATCAATGATATAGACATGTCAACCTGATTTAAACTTGATTACATATATATATATATATAGTTATGTATATAGAATAAGCTTATTGCTTGTTGTGAATAACCATTTTTTATTGGTTCATCTCTTTTTATAGTGATTAAAATACTATTGTAATATGATACAATATTACGTCTTATGTAATTATATTGTACAAAGTTCTTGTGTACACGTAAATTTTAAATTTATTCCTTTTTATCTAAAAAAGTCTCACTTGAAAATGAATGTAACTTAACAAAAAAAAGAGAAAATTTTAGAAGCAATTTTCCAAACATTGTTCGAAATTTTGTACTTATAATTATATTTTAATATTTTTTGTTATAATTTGATCACTAATATTTTTTTTTTACTTTAAAATTCATTTTTTTTTATTTTTAATAAAAAATTAAAATAATTATATTTTATGTAGATGTTATAGAATTATTAAATTTAATAATTTTAATAAAAAAATCAATTAAATCAAATTTATTGTTATTGGTTTATTAAGTTAATTAATTAGTCAAAAAAATTTAATTATTTTTAAAAAAATTTAAACATACTTTCATTTATTACGAAATAAAAGAAAAATAAACATTTGAAATGAATATTTAAAATAAATGGAAAAACATTAAACATCAAACTACTAGTTATGAAAGTATATTTGATGAAAATGTAAAATGTGAGATAATTGGTGCATAGTTATTTCAAAGACTGCAACTAATATGATCATAATTTGGTTGAATTTTGAAAAGTGAAATGTTATGTATCAGAATTTGTATAATTTTAAAGACCATCTCACTTGTAAAACTTTTTATGAAAAAAATTTCTCAAACCTCAAGCAGA